ATGTAGTCCTCGACTCACTACTGTTCATTTACAACAGCACTGAAAAAAAGTGATATGGCAATTTTTCAAACTTACTACCACTGCAGCATCCCGGTGGTCATGTGGTCAAAATTCAACTGGCAACTGGCCTGTATTTATGAGGATTGCAGTGTCCTGAGGTCATGTGATCACCTTCTAACAAGCAAAATCAACGGGGAAGCCATACTCCTTCAACAACCATGTTACTAACTTAACAAATGCAGTGGTTCACTTCACTGTGGCAAGAAAGGCTGTAATGTGGGGCAAAACTCATTTAGCAACTATCTTGTTTAGCAATAGAAATTTTGGGTTCAATTGTGGTCCTAAGTTGAGTACCTATGATCTATGTGAGAGATAACTAGCACAATTCCACCAGTTCAGCCTTATCAAGGAGCGGTGAAGCTGATGTTCATCAAACATAACTGAAAGTTGGCACTTATCAGCACTGCATTCACCTGACCAGTCAGGGCTGTTGCAAGATTACGAAGTATCTCCAAACTATGAAAGTATTCCTTTAGAGTAGGGGTGTCAAACTCAATTTCATTAAGGACTGCATCAGAGTTGTGTTTGACCTTGGGGGGATGGGAAGCATGGTCAGGGTGAGTGTGGCCAGTTTGACATCACTCCTGTTGAGAGTGCCTGCAGTGGCCCAAGTGCTCGGCCAGTGAAAACAGATTCCTGAGCTCAATTTTCAGCAATGACGGTCTCCTGCAACCCTCTGACACAAAAACTGAGCTCGAGGGGCTGGCAAGCGGCCCTCCCAAGCTCCATTTTTGCTGGCACAGGCACTGTGGGCCGGTCCTTTACTGTTTCCAGGGCAGCCCTCTGGGCCAGATCTAAGCACCCAGCAAGCCGGATCCGGCCCCCAGGCCTTGAGTTTCACACCCCTGTTTTAGAAGAACTGAAACATCAATACAAATGGCGGGGCAGTATACTGCCAATCAGAAAGAGTAAGAACTAAGAACCAAAGCCTCAGGCTTGTCTGGATTCAGTATTAGTTTGTTTATGTTGCATCTGCACTACAATTTGGTCCAAGCAGGAGTGGATTAGGGGCTTACACATCTGCCAAGGAAGGGAAAGAGAACATCTGAGTGACATCCAGTAAAGATGGCACTCGGGCTTTCATTTCCTGATAATTTCACTGTACACCTTCATATAAATTTTGAAAAAGGTTGGAGTAGAATAAATCATGAGGCATTATCCAAAAACTTTGGAGAAAAGTGTCATCAGTAACCTGTCATGCAGATAAAACCATGTGTGCAAAGCACACTCCTTATATGCTGCTTTGCACAAAAAGACTGTCATGGACAACATATTTAGTTGATAGAGAAAAGGCAGAACATTCATCTAATACAATATATAAGATAATTCTCTACTTTTCAACCAAAAAAATCCTTACTAAACTCTGAAGCGTTGCTCATGGAATGTCATACCACTCAAAGAAATGGAGCATATAACAATGTTAGTTCATATTCTTTTCATAAAAATCAGTGGGTCTGAATAAATATTATGGCTTCTTTCTCTTATAATCAAGCTTTTTTAAAAAAATCCTTGTCTTCCATCCACTATTATTTCTTTTTAAAAAACAGAAATAGGTTCAGCTGAACATGTTTCCTTAGCAGTTCAGATATAAGAAAAGAAATGAAGCAACCATTGAGCACAAGATTCTCATTCAACTGTTCACCGTTGTTCACTGCTAAAGAAAAGCAATGCTATCCACTCTATAGCTTTTCTTTTTAAAACCTCCTCACCTGTTTTCATCACATTGTACTGCTGAATTTTCAACCTATGGTATTTAAGAGCATGAACGCTGTTTTGCACTTCAGTTTATTTTCAAGCAACATAATATTTTTGAAACAAAAAACAAATCTCAAACAATATGTTCAGCTGAGACATTTACCATAGTGCCCACAATTGCTTGTCTTTTGACAATTATTTTGATACTCCTTAGTATTTCTTCTAGAACAAGAAATGCAGATATTTAGAAAAAGGAAAAAAAGAGTCTTGACAAGTACAGGAAAAAAGATAGTAAAATATATATTAGTTGTTTGGAAAAAACAATCAGGAAACAGAAAGAACATGCTGGGGTTACTTTTGAAATGGGCAACAACCATAAAACAGATTGAAATTGGTTAAAATCAAGATACAAGCAGGAGGAGGGATAAATTATAGTGTACCCTTCCCACGCTCTCTTGAAAGATGCTATAATTGCAAAGTGTTGGGAAGCAAGATTTAATATAGCCTCACTGCCACATTTACTGCAAGGAAACTGAGGATCCAGTACTGACTTCACAGCCTCTTCTTCAATTAGGCCTAAGATAGTCTTAAATTTGATTAATGTCTTCCTGTTTAATAAGGCAATCCTTTACAGACAAGTATAAATGTTTTAATGTTTATTGGCACCTCAACAAATAATGTTGAAGAATTTTTATGGATTTTGATACTAATTATCAGCCTAAAATCCTGAAAAAAGTGAATATCCAGTAGAAGGGAAAGAACCACGAAAATAATTTCTGATCTTTTTTTATTCATAATGTTTAATAAAAACATGCCCTGTAAAGAAAGAGGTAGTGTTAAATAATCTGACGAGACTAACTACAGCTCATAAAAGCTATAGGCAAATATTACTGCTGATAATCCATTTTGGGGGTTAGAGAGTGTAGAACACTGAAAAACTAGAGATATAAGGTGTGATTTCATAAGGAAATCACACAGCTTAATTACTTTTCAAATTATACCATCTATACCAGAAGCATTGATGTTTTTCATATACTCTAACCTTGGGAGACAGGAGAAAAAGCTACAACCTAGAGAAAAGCCTGACAGTAGAATCCTGAGTCCAAAACAGGGGTGGAGGTGGAGTAAGTGTCTCAGAAAGGACCCTCCCTACTCCTCTGGAAAGTAAAGGCAGTAGAAGAAATGCTTTCATTCTTACAAAATTACATTACTGAATCTGTATAATAAAGGTAGTATTAGGACTCATATTTTCTTGACTGGACTACTTCAAAGTAGCCTGACCGTTTAGCCACAGAGACAGAAAGTGAACAGCACTGCTTACTTCACTAGGGGTAGGGGACAGCTGGGAAGCTTTCACCACAAGGGAGAGGCATGGTTCTAATAAGGTTCTACTTTCCCAAGTCCAACAGATTCAAACTCTTCCTAGATAATATGGCTAAACTGCATCTCTAACATCTCTACAGGGTTAACTGGGAATGAATCTGAGTAACTTTGTCCAACAGATAGTCTGCAAAATCTTCTGTGTGCCCCTTTAGGTGTACCTCTGCATCTTCTCTACCCGAGAGGGCCACCAAGTGGCTATCCACAGACACAATACGGGTGAAGTAGCTCTTTGCTGCCCTTACTGCTATAATGTGGGTCTCAATAGTGGCTTTAGCCTGGGTTCAGGTGAGTTTATTCTTAGTTGATCCCAAGCAACTCTTAACCTAGGTTTCATCTCCTTCAATTCTTTCATAAATCACAGAGAGTATTAAGACAGAGCAGGTGTAGACTAGGTTACCATCATGCCCATGCTACATGCAAGTTTTGTATATAGTATTCTATGTGAAAATATCTTAAAGTACTTTATAATAAAAGCAAAAAAATATATAACAATACAATATATTAAAACAAAGGGATACATGCAATATAAATAGCGGGCCCTGTATGTGCAGGAAAAATGCTAAGATGATAATGATACATGCAGTATAAAACAATAGAACATGCATATGAAAGCTAAGGGAGAGAAGGGGGGAAAGCATTCTTCCAGTAACAATGCAAAAATAATCATAACTAAAAATTAATGAAACTTGTCAATCAACATGAGGATAAGCTAAGCCATCAAATGTAATTTTGCAATAATTCTGTCTTCACTGTTTTCCTACCAACAGCAAGGAACAAGATTAACTATATCATAGCACTCAGTATGGCCCTGTTCCCATTATACCACTTCTACTGTTTAACACAGCAGTCAGCAAATAATTCATTAAAAATGTCACTATCTAGTGATGTGTTAACTGGTGAAGCTGAGGACCAGATGCCAGTAAATATTCCATTTCTGTGTTACAACTGCACAATTGGTTTTCCATGAAAAATCTCCAGGAATGAAGCCTGTACAGCTATGTTTTACAGTTTGTTTCTTAATTCTAAACTAAAACTGATTCATTACTTCTGGCTGATTTCCCATCATCACTGAATATTCACATAGTTTTCCTTTCTCAGCTTTATAACGTTTTATAAAGCGTATAATCTTTTTTCTCCTAAAATTGAATTAGGCTGAATATGCAACGTATTATGAATATGTTAAAGCCTTTACCTCTTTTCTGTTCTTATGTATATGGACACAAGAATGCATATGCTTTGACTATATAAAATGCATTTTGCATCATTCACAAGGTATCTGTTTCCCACTTTATTTTCCATTTAATTCTGTTAATTATTTTGATTTTAATTACTTATAGCTACAAAATATTTTCAGCAATGCTCCTTTAGAAAGTTAAATAAATTTACACCATTAAAATTGTTAGTTGTGATACATTACACTGTTTTGCAGAACACTTATCAATATTATATTGAGATATTTCCTTAGAGTATTTTAAAGGTAACACTAGGGGAAAACTAGTTTATCCTTTTTCAATTAGGAAAATATGTAAACAATGATAAAGTATATGCATTCTACTGTAAAATTTAAGTGTGTATGTGTGTATACATACATACATACATACATATTCTCAAATTAAATTTTTATAATTACTTTTTTAAAATAGAAGGAAAATGAAAGCATGAATGCTATCCTATACTTTATTTATTTAAATTTAAAAAACAGAATGGATTTTAATTCCTAGGTAAATCATCCTTAAATCATATTGCATTTTTTAGTCTTTAGACCTTAAGTCTCTGTATCTTTCTCTGCCTTTTAATTATTCAAAGAACAATTATTCTTGATTTTCTACCAGATGTCCTTTGGTTTAACCATAGCTACTGACCTTCCACACTATCAGAACAGGAAGTTCCAACGCCTGTGTCCCCACTGTCAGAAGCTATGCTGTGTCTTCTGATATGGATACTTTGACCTCTGGTTGGACCGGCTGTGGCTTGCCACAGAGAATCAGTACCCGAAAACCATCCTGCTGAAGAACATTCAGGGCCTGCATTGGGGAAAAAAAAGTGTTTAAATATAAAATTAGCTCAAGACGAATTAAACATAAACTCAGTTATGTAGAATTTATTCATATATAAAATTAAAAGACAAGATCTCTATAGAAAATAGTTCTATAGTTTACTTCTTAATACATGAACTTTTAATATGAATAAAAAACTCTTGTATCTTGGAAGAAGACCATCAGCATTAACCAATTATTATGTTTTTTTCCCCTATTTTCAGTGAGAATTTGCTTGGAATTTAGACTCGACTTTAAAATTTACTTTGCAAAATTTAAATTTCCTTTAACAGCATTTGAGAGGTAAGTAGGAAATGTTAGGTTTTGGACACATGAAACATTACTCAGTGTTATAAAAATTTGATTCTGCCCAAATTTTATATGTTGAAATAATGCATAAGTACATTATGGTATTCATGTATCAAATCCCAATGAATTTCTCTACCAAAGATTTCCATTTATATTAAACACAAAAAAACCTCTGACCACAAAACAAATTTCATCAATCATTATATTTAATAGAACAATTTTACAATATACAATCATAAGCAATCTAACTTGACAGTATATAGCACAAAACTGTGATGGTTAGGGAAAAAATATAGATTCTATGACCTCTGGTATCATTTATTACAAACAAGACATATTTCACTATTCCAGTAAGTTCAAAGTATATCAGATTTAAGAGCTTTAAAAAAAATAACTATGAAACAATTACCTAATGAGGAAAACTGCATTGTTCATAGTTATACAAAGATCATTTTATAACTAAGCAAAACCAAACAGAAACATTCTTCTTTTATTCAGTCATTCAGCCTCGTTTAATTATGCAGTTGCCAAGATATGAAAAAAGATATGCCTTTTATTTATGATTGTTCCATATTTTTCCTCTGCTTTTACCCTTTTCTATACATACATAGAAAGAGGAACATATGAGCAACTTACACTTTGTGTTCTAACTACTCAGCCAGAATTTCTTCTATTTTCTGTAATTCATACCACAGAATAGTTTTTCAATTCTTTCTCTTTCATCTTTATTTTTGGCACAACAGAAAGCAGAGAGCTGTAATTTTTCCCCAAATTGTATTGCCTTCCATCTGTACATCTATCCATCATATTGCTACAAAGCTCACTGATCTGCTTGCCTTGTCTCTGGCTAGGAGAATTGTGTATCCTACAAACTACAAGTCTACATGGTTATAAGATAATGGCATTCAAAGAAGAAGAAACTTAGGAAGGAAATGCTCTAATTGACTGGGTGGTTAAAAA